CTGCACCCCTGGAAATGAGTGTGGAGGGAGTGCAGTACCTCGAGTCTGCATGCCCCTGGGAGGAGGGAGGCTGCCACTGCTTTAGCCCACCGTTGCCCTGGCCGAGTATGGGCACAGTTTGGTTAAATCTCAAGTAAAAACAAAAAGCCAGAAAAGCTGGCTTTTCAGAAAAATCTCCCCAATTTTTCAAATACTGTGTAGAACACATAAAACGTACCCATGGGCAGGATCCAACCTGTGGCCAGCCAGGGTGGTGCCCAGAGGAACTTCCATCTCCCCCTATTAGGCCGTGATGTGTGTTGCTTTCTGTGGTATTGTCAACACCCAGCACAGGGCCTGGCGCAGGGCAGGAACTCAGTGCATACTGAGTGAGGAAATGAATTCCCAGACGATACATAGCTCTGGATGTGTATCCGGATGATACACACCCACAGAGACAGCATCTCCAGGAATTAGCTTTTGTGTTCCTCTTTAAACCACAGTCCCGGCACACACAGCCCCCCTTGGCTCAGACCCTGCCCTGGCTCCCACCACACTCAAAGCACCGACCACTATTCTCTCCACAGCCCACGGGCCCTGCACAAACCGGAGGCCGGTGTGTTCTCTGCCCTCTCGCCCTCACTCATTCCACCCAGCCACACTGGCTCCTTCTGTCCTTCCAACACGCCAGGCAAATTCCTCTCAGGCACTTTGCGCTCGGCATTTTCCTTGCCCGGGACAGTCTTCCCTCAAGCCTTCTCAAGGTGCTGCAGGTTTTACTCAGATGTCACTTCTTCAGGGAGGCCTCCCCAGACCACTCTGTGTACATCAGCACCTCTGCCCTTCTCCATCTCCTGACCTTTTTTATTGCTGTAATCACGGCACCTACCACTGCTTAACATTAACTTGTTTACTCCTTTTTCCTTCCCTTTCTCCTTCCCTCTTTTCCTGTCTCACTTGTCTCCCTCGCTAGGATGTAAGCACTGTGTTTCTGTGCTGCCTTGTTCACTCCCTTCTCCCCAAGGCCTGGCACAGCAGCTGGCATGCAGTAGGTGATCAATCAATCTCTGCGGAATTAATTGTACAACTTTGATACACAAATAGACAAGTTCTTCTCAGAGTCCATCATAGCCCCCTCTCTGTCCTAGACCACATTTCCAGATTCCTTCATGTTCGGTGGTCAAACCCTCCTCATTCTAGAAGCAAGATTCTGAGGGAGGTGAGGGTCAGGCAGGGAGCAGCCTATACTCTCTGACTTCCACCAGGGTACAGGCCCCAGCCACATCTAGACACATTTCCAAAGGAGATTTTCCAGTTCCCTGGGGTGGATTCGTCACCTGGGACACCCAGATAATGTTCTTATTTTTCTATCAGACTGAAGTCAACTTGTAGCCTCTCTGACCCACCTCTAGTGGGTGACATGAGCACAGATGCCATCCCTTCTACCCTATCCTAGTGATGCCCACTCTTTGAACATGGTGCCTAGTTTTTGAACTTACAGCTGCTGGGGATTCCCAGACAACATCTTCTAAAAGCCTCCTCCACCCTCTCTACCCAGCAGCCAGAGGGAGCTTTTAAAAATATAAATCAGATCTGCCACTCCTCTGCTTTTAAATACCTCCCTACCAACTGCTCTCTCCTCATCACACTTATCCAAAATCCTCGCAGTGGCCGCTAAGGCCCCCCCAGATCTAGTCATTGCCAAACCCTCACCTCGACTCCCATCACTCCCTTACTACAGCTCCAAGATTGCCTTTCGTTCCTGGCCCAGGGCTTTTGCACTTGCAAAAGATAGCCCGGAACTATCTTTCTCCAGCTCTCCTATGGCTGATTCCTTCTCATCCTCTGGGTCTCAGCCTAAATGCTACCTTGTCAGAAAGACCCACTCTGACCACTCCGTCTCAAGGTGCTGCCCCCTGCCCCCCCCCTTTTATAGGTCCAACTTTTATTTCTTTCATAGCACTCACTCCATCTGAATGTATCTGATTGATCTATTATTTGTTCCCTTCTGAGAGCAGGGATGATGCCTGGGTCACTCACCATTAATAGAAGATGATAGAGATCACCCAACATAAATCTTATCACAGACTAGTAGCAATGGATAAATATGCTTGGTGAATGATTAGACACTTTCAGTTTCTCCAAGAAAATACCCTCTCAGCTCCACACCTTCCTACCTTGGAGCCTTTACTCCTGCAGTTATCTCTCTGGGTACTCCCTTCCCTTGCCCCTTTCCCTTGTTAAACCCCAACTCATCCTTGGGTCTCCCTCAAATGTTACCCCTCATAGAAACCATGTCTTAAAAAGCTCTTGCAGCATCCCATTCTTGGCAAACACAATTCTCATCATGTCTTGTAATTATATATTTATATTACATTATACTTATCTGTGTGGTTGCCATTGAGGCCTGTAAATTCTCTCAGGGCAACAACTGGGTCTGTCTGGCTCCATGCTTTGCCCCAGCTCCTAGCATAGAGCCAGGTCCACCACAGGCTTTCAGTAAATGTTTGCTGAATGACTAAATGATTGAATGATGTGTCATGAATCAAAGATTAGGATTAATTCCAGTTTCATTCTCCAACGGGTGAATGAATAAATTAACCAAAGGGGAATGCAATGGCCACCACTCACCCAGACCACTTTCAAATCACCCAGAATCTCCCCACCATCACCACCAGCAGAGCTCAGCCCAACCTCTCTGGCCACCCATGGCTCCAAACAAAATTGCAGGGTGGGGAGGATGGTTACCGTAGTCCTTGGGGAGGGGGGCAGGTGCCGAGGGGTGCACAACAGGCTTCTGCCGGCGCTCCTGGGTGGGGCTGGGGGCCTCAGGGACCAGCTCATCCTCTTCCTCCTCTTCTTCTTCCTCCCCGCGTAGTGGGGGGGCCATGGGAGCGGGATCTGTCTTAGTCATGGTCTTCAGTGGCCCTCCGGGGGGCGGGTGCAGATTTGGGGGCGGCTTTCAGGCCAATCCTGGAGACAGAGGCCAGTTACAGAGAGCCCCCAACAGGGTCTAGGGTCTGAGCCCCCAGAAGCTCCAAGGCCCCCAGTGACTCCCACACCCCCAGCTCTGGATTTTGAACAATCATAGCGACGGCCATCAGCCGTCAGAGGACCCTGGTATGCGGGCCCAGCGCCTACCACTTCCCCCCTCTTCCCCAGGTTCAGCCCCCCATTCTTCTCCTCCCGCGTCAGGCCCCTCAGTCTAGGCCGCCCCCTCCCCGGGTTTGTTTATCTCGGGATGCAGGATGCTTCGCCCCTCCCCTTCTCCGCGGGCCTCCCCTCTACCCATCTTACCTCGGACTGATGGGGCTGGGGACCAAAGCTGAGACTGGGGAGACTGGAGTAATGGGGTGTCAGTGTTGGGGGAAGTGATGGGGGAGGAGAGGGAGACAGAAGGGGACGAGGCCCAGACGCCGACAGGGGATGGGGGTGGAGAAGGAGGGGCGCTGATGCGCATGCGCAGTGATACCCCCAACCAGGCGCGGGGGCGGAGATACTGGGAGGCTCCAGGCTTTGATGAAAGGGCTTGAGGCAGCGTCGTCGTGAAGAGGATAGACACGGAAGATGGAGAGAGAAAAGAAGAGATGGCCACGAAAAAGGATGTGAGACATCAAAACAGAAAGAGATGAAGCAGAGACAAGGGCAAGAAGGAGAGGGATGGGAAAGCGGGCACAGTTTTTTGTCCGTCCCCGGGACAGAGCCTTCCTTCCCGCAGGCCCACAAACCAGGCCAGTTAGGGCAGGGGTCTCAGTGTGGTGGTGGTTATGAGTGTTTTCCTCTCTCTGAGATCTCAGACCTGACCCTTCTCCATGGTCACCGCATATAAGGGGTGTCTCAGAGGGATGATTTTGTAGACTCCTTTCATCATCGAGGGTCATTAGTTACCGTGGTTATCATCACTGAGTGCTCAGAGAGCACTTCCCAGGTTTAGAGAGGTTAAGCTACTTGCCCAAGGGCACACAGCAAGCAGATGCTGGAGCTAAGAAACCAGACAGCCTGCTGGAAACCAGACGGCCTGGTTGGAGAGTCTGGGCCCTTCATCACCATGCTACATATGGCTGTAGCAGTGTGTAGGGGCCAGATCTGCCAATGAACCCCTCCAACCCTCTCGGAACCTGTATCTCCCCTTGGGGGAAGACCTCCTGGAGCCAGCTCAGAGTCCAAGCCTTCCTGGCTCCATCACCCTGGTTTGGCTGTCACTCTTGCCTGGTGACCAGAGCTGGCACTGTCTACCACTCCAGCCCAAAGAGGACTGGGCTACTTTGCCTCCCGCCCTTCATCCTTCTAATGGGCAGGGCTAGTTTCATCCCTCACCCCCCACCCCGGCCCTCATCCTGGTCTGTTCTTCATCCTCTCCCACCTGGACTGTGTTCTCCCTGCTCCTCCCTTACCCCACAACTTGCTCCCTGTAATGCAGCCACAGGGACCTAACATATCATATCAGGGCCCTCCTCCATTCAGAGACATCTGCTTGCTGCACCTCGCTCTAGATAAAAGCTAGTGTTCTCAACCACAGCTCACAAGGCCCTAGGTGGACTTTCCACTATCATCTCTCCACCCTCTCCTCCTCTCACTCTCCCCCACATTCACTGCCCACCACGCTGACTTCCTTGCTCCTTCTCAGCCCAGGACCTTTGCACTGGCCGTTCCTTCTGCCCAGAATGCTCCTCCCCCAGATGCTTGGTTTCCTCTCTCCCCTAGTTTAGGATTTTACTTCTTGGCGCCTTTTCAGTGAGACCTTCTCCGCTCTATCTAAAATTGCATCCCCCACACATACTCCCTTCCTTGCTTCAGTTTTTACCATAGCAACACTGCCCTCCTCCAGCTGACACCCTAGATGTTGGGCACTTGCAGGGGGTGTGCTGCTCCCTGGAACATCCAGTCCGTATGCCTTCCAGGCCAGGTCCTTCTCATCCAGGTCTCTGCTTGAACATTGTCTCCTTAGAGTCCTCTTCTCCACCCATCTGCCAGTGCCACTCCCACTCCATTACATTTTCGTTTAGTCTTTACGGCGCGTATTACAATCTGAAATTATCTTGTTTATTAGTTGACTGGTTTATATTCTACTCAAGCAGAATAGAAACACCATGAGGGCAGGACTTTGTCAGCTGTGTTCACTGCTGTACACCCAGCTCAGCGCCAGACTTCACAAAGGGTATGAGAACCAGGTAGAATTCTCCCCAAATAAACAACTCTTGTTCTGCTCTGCAAAGGTTCAAACTAGGAATGGCAGGAACCTGGCACCAAGGGGAACAGGGACTGATGAGGCTTGGGCCTTGGTCAGCCCCAAGGTTCAAGGGGTCCCTTAGGAGGGGGTACTTGGAACCAGACCCTTGAGGGAGCTGCAATGGCCCAGGCATGGGTGGTGAGGCTAGGCAGACTCATGTATGATGAGTGGCTCTTCCTCTGTCTTCTGTCACCTGTCCCGCAACATTATCCATCCTGGTCCTTATGCATTGGGGGTCTGAGTGTCCAGCAGCTCGGGCTTGGCATCCAGTGTGAGAAGTGCAGGACTTTGGGCAAGGACCACACCTATGTCAGCCCCTCCACAGATAATGGGACTCCTCACATCCAGGGAGCTGGGCATTCCCAGACAAAGAAGTGATAGAGATGGAGAGCACAGGGGAATGAGGGGAGGGAAGAAGAGAGGGAAGGAAGGAAAAGGGGGGAAGAAATGGTGAGGAACATGGAGGGTGATGTGGGAGGGGGGTGTCAAGGAACACAGAGAGATGTGGGCAGAGATTTGTGGGGAGACAGGGAAACAAATGTGAGGCCAGAGAGACATTCATGGGGGAATAAAGAGGTATGGAGAAACAGGGAAATGGGGGGGGGGGGGTGTCCAGAGACAGATATGGGGATAGGCAAACACAGGAGAAGACAGAGAGAGACATAGATGGGGGACACAGAAAGATGCAGATGAAGAGAGACATGGGGAAATGGAGAGACAGGAGGGAAGAGAGATAGGGCATCAGAAACATAAAGATGAATGTGGGAGGAGAGAGGAGGAGATTGAAACACATGGATTGAATGGGGGCAGGGGAGGCAGAGAGACACTGTCGGCCCAGGGACCATGGCAGGCTGAAGAATCCCAGACCTGAGTCTGAGGTCTGTCCCTACACTCTGTATGTCCCTCTTGTGCCCCAGCATGGTTAGGCCACAGTCTCAAACACAAAGCCTCCAGGGGCAGCCACACTGCAGTTCTAGCTGACTGTTCCTAGCTGACTGCTGCTAAATCTGCTGAGCCTTCAGGAAAGACCAAAAATTATTTTAAAGCACCACTGAGGCCAGAAAAAATCGTATCTGTTAGCTGTGTACAACCTACTGGCCAGCAGGCAGAGACACCTTAGCCACAGAGCTACTTTGGGGGCTCCTTTTTGAAACCCCTTCCTATCTCTTGTCCAGGCAGGGCTGAGAGCCCTGGGACCTCAAAGTTGGCCCTAGGGTTTGAAGCAGGGAAAAGGCCTGGCCAAACTTTTAAAGACACAATGCCCTCCTCCAATATTCAGAAGTAAACTATAGGAGCAAAAGCGCCTTTAGATAGGGCTCGGGAGACTCTACTAGATGGGCTGCAAACTCACGCTCCACAGGGTCCAGGCAGGAGCTCTCTAACCATTTGAATCGAGGTTCTGCAACTTACTGGCTGCCTGACTTTGGGCGAGATTTGTGCCTGACTTTTCATCTGAAAAATGGGGACAACCGCAGTACCAAGGTCACAGTGAGTTTTCAATAAGTTATTAACTCTGTCTGGCAGAGAGTAAAGGCCCCTTAAATATTATTAATATATGGAACAGCCATTACCCTGCTCTGACCAATAGTGGGTAGGCATTGCCAAACTGACTTTTTTTTCAAGAAAAGCCAGAAATGTGGAAACATGAATGAAATGTTCTGACTTTTAAGTGAAAATACATATGCCACGGGGGCCAGGTGGCCACATTCACCAGGCAGAGCAGGTCCTGGTGCGCCCAGCCGGCAGGCTCTCCTTGCACAGCTGCTGCGCCAGCTGTTCTAGAGCCCGCAGCTGCACCTGGTGCTGCTCCTGGCGCCGCTGCAGCCTCCGCACACGACGTTGCAGCGCTCCCAGGATAGTGCCCAGCCCGGCCAGAGGGTGCTGGGCCCGAACTCCAGGCCGTGGCCTGGCAGGAGCAGGAGGAAGGATCAGGGGGGCCAGGAACACGGTGGCTGCGGCCTCGGGGCCTCTGGGTGCTGGCCCTAGTACCACAAGGTGCACAGGGCCAGGGGCCGAGAGAGCTGGGCCAGGGGTCGGGGGCGTGACGTCTGGTGGGGAGGGAGACACGACTGGCTTCTCGGTGCTTCGGGTACTCTGCTGCTTCTGGAAGACAAAGCATGGGGTGGGGGGCATCAGGGCCAGACTCCAAGGGGTACTGCCATCAGGTAAGGCCAGACCTCAAAGAGGGACTTCCCTTAGGAGAGAAGGGCATAAGGTCAGACTGGAGGAGGGACCTCCCTCAGGAGAGGAGGGCTGGGGATCAGACTCCATGGATTATTTCCAGGTGGGGAAGACTGGGGGTCAGACGCCAGTGGTGGGACCTCCCTTTGCTCACCTCAGTAGGCTGCGCTGGGGAGAAAATGGAGGGCACTGCATCAGGCCGCAGGTAGCGCACACCCCAGCGCCACTGGAAGCAGGAAGGTGTGAAGTGCTCACTGCACAGGTGCTGGTGGCAGCTGGGCACCCAGTCCTCATGGCCCATGTGCCGCAGCCAGGCCCGCAGCCGGGGGCCATCCTTCAGTGGGAACCTGCCAGGGGTAGTGGGGTTACGGGGTCAGTGGGGTTATGGGGTCAGCAATATCAGGTCCGGTCACACCCCTCCCTGAGGACACACGCATCGGGAGGTCCCTGGGCTCCAGACCTCTGTCTCCCCAGGCTAGAAGCTGTCCCTGCCTCCTACCCAGGCCCTATCACCAACCCACATCCCATTCTTCCACCTTTTAAACACCCAGCATCAGTCCACCTCTCCTACCTCTGTTGCCCCTTCCATTCAGCCTCCATCCTCTCCTGCCTGGGCTTTTGCAACAGCCTCCTTCCTGATCGCCCTTACCCACAGCCACTCTGCCCTCCCCCAACAATCTGCTCCTCTACATGAAGCTGAGAGAGTAGTTTATGAAACTGGACAAATCTACAAAGTGGGAGATTCTACATTCATGGGGGTAGGGTGGGGTTATAGGTTAAAAGAGATTTAAGAAACATCCAGTTGCAAGTTATAGACCTCGTCTGCAACAAATCATTCCATAAAATGACATTTTAAAACAGTTGGGGAAGATTGAGCATGAATTGGGCACTGGATAGTTGTAAGAAATTAATTTTGCTAGGTATGACAATTGTCCTGGTTTATGTTTTTAAAATAGTCATCTGTTGGAAAAACATTCTGAAATATTTATGGGCAAAAGAACTAATATCTGGAATTTATTTTAAAATACTGCATTAAAGGGGTGCCTGGGTGGCTCAGTCAGTTGGGCGGCCAACTACACCTCAGGTCATGATCTCACGGTCTGTGAGTTCGAACCCCACATCGGGCTCTGTGCTGACAGCTCAGAGCCTGGAGCCTGCTTCCAATTCTGTGTCTCCCTCTCTCTCTGCCCCTTCCCTGCTTGCTCTCTGTCTCTCTCTCTCAAAAATAATAAACATTAAAAATAAATAAATAAATAAAATACTGCATTAAAGGGGTGCCTGGGTGGCTTAGTCGGTTGAGCGTCCCACTCCTGGTTTTGGCTCAGGTCATGCTCTCACAGCTTCATGGGTTCGAGTCCCACATCGGGCTCTGCATTGGTAACACAGAACCTGCTTGGGATTCTCTCTCTCTCCCTCTCTCTCTGACCCTCTCCCACTCATGCTGTCTCTCAAAATAAATAAATAAGCTTTAAAAATAAATAAATACTGCATTAAAGGTGTAAGTAGGTGGAGGGTAGATGAAAAAGATTGGCAAAATGTTGACAACTGGTGAATCTGAGTGATAGATATATGCGAATCCATTTATATAACTCTACTTTTTGGTGTATGCTTGAAAACACCTGATAAAGGTGGGTTTTTTTTAATATTTATTTTTGAGAGAGAGAGTGCAAGTGGAGGAGGTGCACAGAGAGAGGGGACAGAGGATCAGAAGCAGGCTCTGCACTGACAGCAGAGAGCCTGATGCAGGGCTCGAACTCACAAACCATAAGAGCATGGCCTGAGCTGAAGTTGGACGCTTAACTGACTGAGCCACCCAGGCACCCCTGTTAAAAGGTTTTTAAACAACTCAACAACAACAAAAATAACCCCATTAAAAATGGGCAAAAGACTTGGGGCACCTGGGTGGCTCAGCTGGTTAAGTGTCTGACTCTGGATTTTGGCTTAGGTCATGATATCCTGGTTTGTGGGACAGAGCCCCAAGTCAGGCTCTGTGCTGACAGTGTGGAGCCTCCTTGGGATTCTCTCTCTCCCTCTCTCTACCCCTCTCTCTCTCAGAATAAACAAACTTAAAAAAAAAAGTTTTAAATTAAAAAAAAAAACAAACAGTCGTGCCTGGGTAGCTCAGTCAGTTATTTGTCTGAGTCTTAATTTTGGCTCAGGTCATGATCTCACTGTTTGTGGGTTTGAGCCCTGCATCAGGCTGTGCTGACAGCCTGCTTCAGATTCTGTGTCTCCCTCTCTCTCTCAAAAATAAACATTAAAAAAATTTTTTAATGGTTGATATGGTAGATTTTATATTACATGTATTTTACAATTAAAGGTAAAAATTAAAAATTAAAGTTTAAAAAAATGAATGAAATAAAAGCTTTCCCTGTGGGAGTGGGTGGGGATTATCTGAGACTCCAGACTGTCCACAATGGAGACCTCATTTTCCAGCTTCATTTGCAGCCAGGGGCGGCCACATAATTGAGTTCTGGACCATTTGTCCTGTGGCAGCTTTCAGAAACTGGGAGACTTTAAAGGTTTATTTTAAGCCGTTAAATTTTGAAATAGTTTGTTATGTAGCATTAGATAACTAGTATGGTCAGTCATCCACATTCTACCTGCACAGTATCTTCTATATCTGCCACATGATTTACTTAATATTTTTCTTAAAACTGACCAACTTTAAGTATTTAACAAAGATACCTCAAAGAGAAAACTTTACACCACAATTTAAGATGGAAAAACCAGTATTGGGGCACCTGGGAGACTCAACTGATTGATCTCTCAGGTCATGATCCCAGAGTTGTGGAATGGAGCCCTGTGTTGGGTTCTGTGCTGAGTGTGGAGCCTGCTTGATTCTCTCTTTCCCTCTGCCACTATCCCTGGAGCTCGCTCTCTCTCTCTCTCTCCCTCTCTCTCTCTCTCTCAAATTAAAAAAAAAAAAAAAAAGAAGTCTTACAGTTCTGTTAAAAAAAAAAAAGAAGAAGAAAAGTAAAGAAAACCGTATCAATTCCATGAACAGGAGTTGACCAAAAAAACCAGCTAGATACCTTCATCTGCTGAGGGCTTTGAGACCTGCTCTTTGTTAAAAGGGCAGAGTAAGGGGGCGCCTGGGTGGCGCAGTCGGTTAAGCGTCCGACTTCAGCCAGGTCACGATCTCACGGTCCGTGAGTTCGAGCCCCGCGTCAGGCTCTGGGCTGATGGCTCAGAGCCTGGAGCCTGTTTCCCATTCTGTCTCCCTCTCTCTCTGCCCCTCCCCCATTCATGCTATGTCTCTCTCTGTCCCAAAAATAAATAAACGTTGAAAAAAAAATTAAAAAAAAAAAAAGGGCAGAGTAAGGGTGTTAGAGAGTGCGGGACAACACCATCCCTAGGAGACAAGGTAACAAACTCGGGCACAAAAGGAACACTATGGAACCCTAAAACAGAACGTGGAGGCACTCTATGAACTGACATGCTATTGTCAGGCATACACGTTACCTGAAAAAAGCAAAGTTCCAAACAGAGCAGATCAGCTTTTAGTAATTGTGGCAGGCTCAGTAATGGCCTCCAAAAGATATCCATGTTCTAATCCCTGGAACCTGTGAATACTACGTTGCATGACAAAAGGTGTGATTAAGTTAATGGCCCTGAGATGGGAAGTCATCCTGGATCTTTCATTTGGGCCCTAAATGCAATTACAGGTATCCTTGTAAGAGGGAGGCTGAGAAGATGTTACCTCAGATGAAAGTGGAGAAGGCGATGTGAGCACAAAGGCAGAGATTGGAATGATGTGGTCACCAGAAACTAACTGGAAGAGGCAAGAAACGGATTCTCTTACAGCCTCACAGGGAGTGCAACCCTGCCAAGGCCTTGATTCTGGCCCAGTAAAACCGACTTGCACTTCTGGTCTCCAGAATTGTGAGAGAATAATTTCTGCTGTATTAAGCCATCAAGTTTGTTTCAGTATCCACAGGAAATTAATACAGTAATAAAGGGTGAAATTAGAACATATATTCAGATTTGCTTGTATATGCATAAAGAAACTGGGAAGGCAGGGGCGCCTGGGTGGCTCAGTCAGTTAAGTGCCTGACTCTTGATTTGGGCTCAGGTCATACTCTCAGTGTTCATTGGATCGAGCCCTGTGTTGGGCTCTGTGCTGCTAATGTGAAGCCTGCTTGGGATTCTCTTTCCCCCTCTCTCTCTGCCCCTCCACCACTCATGTATAAGTGCTGTCTCTCAAAATAAAGAAATAAACATTATTTCAAAATTAAGAAAAAAAGAAAAAGAAACTAGGAAGGACACATAAAAAAGGAGTTGGGTAGGATGGACAGAGATGGGGGTGGGAGCAAGACTTCTCAGCCAAAAGGCAGACAGACAGGGCAAGGGGGGGGCGGGGGGGGCACAGCTAGTGCAAGAGGACAGAGGGGCTGACTCAGAAGAGCTGTGGCACCCAAAGAGCAGAACCCCAGGGCACACAGCCAGGCACTCTGGCTGCTGCAGTCCCTTTCGTCTCTGTTTGGGATCCAAATCCTCTCATCAACCCCATTCTGCCTGGACACACACAAGAAATCTCTTGCAGCAGCCCCCTTCTTGGCAAACCCTGCCCCCTTCTTGGCAAACACTGACAAGTGACTACTCCACTTGCCCTTTTCTTCTTCCTTACTAGCGAAATTCCAACTTTAGTTGAGGTCATAAAGTGCCATGCTAAAAGACTATGTTTCCCAAGTTCCTTTGTGTAGGTGGGGCCATGTAACTAGGTTCTGGCCAATGAATACTTTTGTGTTGTGTAAGAAAATCTGGAATGGTACCTGAAAGGCGAGGGGGTTCTCACATGGATCAGAGCAGCTCAAGGGGCAAAGGAGGAAAGTACAAAATCTCTTCCTAACTTGGTCTTTTTCTTATTCTTCTTTATTCCTCTGAATGGCAACATTTATAATGGACTCTGTAAAAATCTACCGTAAGTGGACAGTGTCCTCCTTTTCTATAGAACAGCTTAGTCTTGTTAGTCATCCTTCTAGATCATGGAGTGGCATATGCTGTTAGAAGTTCTTTTCAAAAGAAAAAAAAAGAAGTTCTTTTCTTCCTTACTAACAATCAATCCTAATGGTCTTCAGGGTGGTTAAATGCCCAGCTAAAAGACTACATTTCCTAGTTTCCTCTGTAGTTGGAGGGTGACCAATGATGGAGAACTCACCATTGGGTGGGGTTTCTGGGAAGGCTTTCTAGAGGGGGCTAATTCAGTTTGCAGTTGGAGCCCCTTTTACTCTTCTTCCCTTTTCTTCTTCCCAGGAATGATACATGGCACTTGGTAGCCATCTTGGATGGAAGCTACATACTAAGGATGACAGGACAGAAAGAGAGGAACCTCAACCCTAACAAT